CGTCCCTCCTCCTTTTTATCCTTCCGGAGCTCCTCCGTGAGACTCGAGACCGGTGAGTGGTGCAGGTGTCGCTCATTATCAATTACTCCACCGGCCTCGCTCCGTTCCAACGGCTCTCGGCCCCGCCCCTCTCGTCACACATAGTACACGTCATTTTCTTTCCGAACATGGTATTGGGATGCGGCGGATTGTGGGGGGTATGGGGTGGGTCACGATGCCGGCTCAACATTGTGATGTCTATCAGCCATAGGTGATGGATGATGGCATTGTCTATTGGCCCAACCCTAATCCTGGCTCTTCCAAGCTTGTGAAGCACTAAAAAGCGATCGTGCATTCAAAAGCAGTTTCAATGCCAGGCATAATATAGCGGCTCCCTGATGTCCGCAATTTATATACAGTACAATTACCCAATGATATAACTGCGAGAGAAAGTAGGTATTTGTGTAAGAAAAATATCCATATTTACAACTTTATAAACTATAATCTCTAGCTGTGCCTACGTCCTATATCATCCGTTGCAACACCACTTTCTCATGAATGCGCATACGATAGTTAGTGGAGATTACGGTTTATAAAGTTTTAAATATGGATATTATTCTTACACAAATGCATCAACTCGCTTTAGAAGGCCTTTATTAACTCCCCAGAGCTGTGTGGGGCAATTTTTATGATGGATGGATGCACTTGTTTGGGCTTCAAAATCTCAACAGCCATTCACTGCCTTATAAAGCTTGGAAGAGCCAAGACATTTTTTTAACCCTTTCACTGGTGAGTTTAAAATATTCTAGCTGTCCCCCCAGAGTGAGTTTTTTAGGCGACCGTTATTTTAGAACGTTTCCCCTTATTGTTTCCATGGCGACGCGTCATGCTTGTCACGTGACACACCGCGGCGACAATAACACTGTGTGACAGATGGATCGCCAGATAATGCGCCAAAGCACAGTTTGAATTTGGCAGTTATGTGACGTCACCGAACGTTCTAAATCCCATATGTGGGACCGTACTCCCAGGGGCACAGAAATAAAAATCCCATATGTGGGACCGTACCGCTCAAAGGGTTAATATCACTCTGACTGTATTTGTCTGAAAGAAGAAAGTCATATACAACTAGGATGGATTGAAGGTGAGTAAATCATACAGAAGTTTTCATTTTTGGATGTACTATCCCTTTAAGAGGCCCTCAACATATGCACACACAAACATACACGTTTACTTTGGTTTACTTTGGTAAACATGGGGACATTCCATAGATTCTATTATTTTTGTATACAGCTAGCTATAAAATCTAACCTTAACAGAAAATTTTCTGCATTTTTAGAGAAAAAAAAAAGCTACACATTTTAAATTTTTTATAAATGAGGATATTCCAAAAGGTTTTGTCAGATATAGCTCACTTCTAGGTACAAAATATGGTGCTCACACGCACACACACAGTGAACACATACCTGGGTTGTCCATTTCACAGCCCTTCTCTAAACAAACTGTAAACAGTACTGCAGCAGAACGCAAGGAGAGAGAGAAAGCAGGGAAAGAAGTGAAGAGCAGTGGGCGGAGTCTAACTCTGCCTGTATCCTATGAGAGACCTGGGTGTTGAAAAGAGGTGTGGCTTGTCGATTTGTATGAGATGGTCTGTTGAACAGCAGGGAGACGCTGCATGTGTTTACCGGTCAGCCGATGAGGATCGTTCACGCCGGCTCTCGAATATGGAAGCGTTCGGGGACTGATCTACGGCACATTTATGTTCAGAATGACTGAAGTGACATCCTTGAATTTACATTCTTCTCAAGGCTTTTAGAGAAGATCCTTTTGGCTTCTGGAGCCAGTCTTGTTTCCTCTTGAGGGATGTAACATTAAACGGACCGTAAGCAAAGGCATAAAGGGTAAGTTAACACAAGCAGAGGTTTTTCCATCTCATGACAGTCTGAATGAACGTTTGCGGTGCATTTTTCCTGTGTTGTTCTTTAGCTGTGACGGAACGGCAGCTGAGCTGTTTTAATAGCTCGTAAAGCCTTGAAGGGCAGGTGTGCGTTCTCTCACTGAGCGTTGTGGACGTGTACGGCTCTGCAGTGTGTCCGCTGAGGTGACAAGACATGCGGCTCTCCTTTAATCATCCGAATTATGCATACAAATATAAAATGAGAGTATTAAACGCGTCGCAGGCATCCATTTTAATATGACTGGACTGGGTGAGCGGAGATCACCTTGAAAGCAAACTGCTTTCACAAATTGACGAGTCTTTCCTTGCTGTATTCCTTATCTTGAGCATTTTTTTGGTTGCATTCATCGTCATGGGATGTGCTTAAAGGAGAACAAGTTGTTTGGTTGCTTAACTCCAGCATGAGTGATTATTTTCACGGTATCTTTCATACTATGAGCTGTCATATTGAGATTGAGTTTATGGTCTTTCGGTTAAAAATGTTGCTGTCACATCTGTTTCAAGCGCTACCCCACCCTCAGAGGTATCTGGGTTAAGATTGAGGCAGTTGTGGGTTCAAAGCAGTAGCTTCTGAAGCTTTATCTCTCTCTTGTCCTCTATTTTACCTTTTTATTCTTTGATATGTTGCTGTCTTTCAGCTGTAGATGGTGTCGTTCATAATTAATGTAAATATTCGGGCTGATATCAAGGGAGAATTCTGCTGACCTATCAAATGTCTCATAGGCTAATTGATAATTTAAATATTAAATTCGTTTTTTAATAAGAGGGTGTGGCTCACCTTCTGGATTGCAGGATTTAATTTAGCTGTCAGATTCTCATTTCACATGGTCATCTAAACATTGTTAGACAGAAGTCATCAAAAACGCAAGTTAATTATTATTATTTTACTGTGGTTGTCCTTGGATTAGTGCAAAAAAAGAGGGTTGAATGCCGGCCGACGATACAGGTGCTGGTTGCTATGGCAACACCAGGGCAAGGGAGGGACTGATAGCATCCTCAATGCAACGATTTTGCTACACTTTTGCCATGTAATGCTTTCACATCACTGAATTTATATGTTTTGTCTGTGTTGTGTTATATTTATGTCTAAAGTGTATAGTGCAATTTTAAATGATTTAGTTTATGTGAATGGAGAAAGATGGATAATATGTAAAGTGTATAAAACCTATTTTCTCACCATAATAACTCATTATCCTTTGTGCTTCAGCAAAATTGCCATTTCGTGAGGATGTCTCTAGCCTCGGGGGAAGTATAGGATCAAGTTAGTATTCGCAGTGGTCAAAGAAGTCAGCGAGCCGCCATACTGTGTCAGGTGTCATTTCCTGTCAGTCGGGGTCTCAGAGTTCACGATATCTCTCCACTGAACTCCTTCCATCTTTTATCCACGGCCAACACAACTCTTGTGGCCCCCAGGCCGAGGCAAGTTCAGACTGCCATCTGCAAGCATGCCTGCTGCATTTGAGCTAAATGTGGGCTACATTGACTCATTATTTCAGGGCTTTAGCTGTGTAAAACAGAAGAGTGCATTAAAAAGTAAAATCTGGCCTATGCAGATAATCTACACCATTTCTAATTTTAATTTTAGTTTTTCATCTAATATTTATTTTATAAATATGTTTTATCTAATATTTTATATTTTATTTTGTCAGCTTAATTGTAATTACATAAAATGATTTTAATAGTTTTAGTTTTAGTTAACAGTAACAACACTGCCAATAACTCATAAGTGGCCGATATTAAAATTGTATTCTATTTTGTCTTAATAAATAAAAAATACAACAGTAAAAACTAAAACAAATTGTTTTAAAGTGAAAATTAGGCATCACAACCATTTTAATGTATAGTATGACAAAAGCATAAATATTTTGACATTTGCTAATGATTACATTGTGCAGAGTTATTTAATTATTAGGGGTTTTAACAATTAACTTCAGGTGAACATTAGTGACAGCAAAGGTAATCTAAATTGTTAAAATGAGAAATGTATACATTTAGAATATAATTGATCCAAAAACAATAATTAAAAGAAAAAGTCTAATATTGACCAATAACCAATATTGTGCATCCTTATGAAAACATCTACATTTAAAATAACATGATCTAGATAGTTATTTGAGTTTAGCTGGTTGTACTGGGGGATAGGGTTGGGTTTGTGTCAGGACCAGGCTAGGATAATGAGCCCCTGATAAAATGATCACCATTCTGTTAAACCCAGTTTGGCCTGGCCTCTCAGATGGGAGTGTCAGTGTGGAGAGGAATGCTCATGCTTTTGACTGTTGTGTGTGTGTGTGTGTGTGTGTGTGTGTCTGTGCTTGTGTATGCAGTTTGTGCAAGTGTCGAGAGGGGGGATGGTGGTCTCATTGTCTGCAGAACATGTTTGACAGGCTGTCTGCAAGGGGGAGCAGCTATTCAAACCTCTTCATCTTCTCCTCCTGTTTTTCCTTTAAATTCCCCGACAGGAGAGAGTGTGGAATCTGAACCCCAGCTTTGGTGTGTGTGTGTGTGTGTGTGTGTGTCTGTGCTTGTGTATGCAGTTTGTGCAAGTGTCGAGAGGGGGGATGGTGGTCTCATTGTCTGCAGAACATGTTTGACAGGCTGTCTGCAAGGGGGAGCAGCTATTCAAACCTCTTCATCTTCTCCTCCTGTTTTTCCTTTAAATTCCCCCTGACAGGAGGGAGTGTGGAATCTGAACCCCAGCTTTGGGTTCACGTCATAGGAATCCCTGCCTGGCCCGTGCCGTGAAGCTCACTGTGGTCTTCCATCCAGATACTGTGTTCCTTAAAACATGAGGGGGAGACCTAGCTGTTAGCTTGATAGCTACCACCACCCTCATGATTAATGAAGGGCTTTTCTCACAATCGTAGTGTTACTCAACACCTCTTTTGAAAGCTTCAGTCTATATCTCACTCTCCAGGTCTACGAGTCCTCATGCTGGGAAGCACTCAATGGTTCCCCAGTGCTCCTCTCCACAATGTTGATTTAAGAAGCTATTTTAAGTGCAAGCATTATGAACTTATCGGTGTGTGAAATGTGTGCTGGCCCCGTCCCAAATGACACACTTGATGTGGAGTGGCCTTGTGGTCTTTGCTTCTGCGCATTCATGAAATCCACAAGACCGTAGACTGTCCTATTTGTCATGTTAGGTTTGAGAAGGGTGCTCTTTTTAAACCTTTTGTTAACCTTTATGGACTTCATAGTGGAATATTACCCCAACAATCCTTGCGAAGGACAGTGACAATAAAAGCAAGTTTTATCAACCAGGCATCAAGTGTAGACTTAGAGGACAGTAAGGGGTTGACACTGTCATTTGGGACATGTCCATTATTTCTCGATTTCTAGGCAAGGATTGACCCCTTTATGCTATTTGAGAGTTTTGTTCTAGTATCAGTATTGATCAACCTTAAGAGCTGATTTTGCCAACCAGGCGTCAAGTGTAGACTTGGAAAATGGCGAGGGCTAATGTTGTCATTTGGAACACGTCCATTATTTTTTTATTTCTATTGTAGGTTTGACACCTTTACATTTAATTGAAAGTTTTGTTCTTGTATCAGTTGTTATTGACCATAAAAGCTGAGTTTATCAACCAGGCATCAAGTGTAGACTTGGAGGACAGCGAGGGGTTGACGTTGTCATTTGGGACACATCCATATTTCTTGATTTCTTGGCTAGATTTGACCCCTTTTCTTTTACTTGATTTTTATTTTTGTATGGGTATTTATTGACTATAAAAGCTGGTTTCATCAACTAGGTATCAAGTGTAGACTTGGAAAATGGCGAGGGCTAATGTTGTCAGTTGGGACATGTCCATTATTTTTACATTTATATTGTAGGTTTGACCCCTTTTCGTTTAATTGGAAGTTTTGTTCTGGTATCAGTTGTTATTGATCTTCGTGGATGGCGAGGGGTTGACGTTGTCATTTGGGACACATCCATATTTCTTGATTTCTAGGCTTAGATTGGACCCCTTTTCCTTTAATTTGAGTTTTATTTTTGTATCAGTATTTATTGACTATAAAAATTGGTTTCATCAACTAGGCATTAAGTGTAGACTTGGAAGATGGCGAGGGATAATGTAATTTGGTATACGTCTGTTTTTGTAATTGATGTTGCCACAAAATTGAGCAGAGGATAACCTTTATGCAAACAATGAATGCAACAACTATCAATGGGAATGAGAGAGAAATCGAGTAGGAATGTGACTCAGCGACTCTGTGACCTTTGTGAATTAATCACTGTCAGTGTAAACACTTTTTGGTTGTAGAATTGCATTAATTTTAAATGTTTCAGACAAGTGAAATGGCGTGCTTGCAGCCATAAAACAGATTAACACATGGCCTGTACATGTGTAGTAAAAAGCCGCTACCCCTGAATGCCCTGTTGTCAGCTTTCTGAGAGAAAATCTGATTTGGCAGTCACTCCCAGAACGGTCCCAGGGCACTGCGTTAAAATGACATTTGCACCCCAGAAACGCTCTTGTTGACTCTACGTTGGATACACTCATGTACAGAATCCAAGCAACCAATAATAAGCATAGACCACTGAGTTATTTTGTTACATTTTATTTTATTAAAAGAGATGTAAATTGTGGAAGACACTGTTGACTAGGGATTGAACTTATTCAACTTTAACTGCCGCTGTGTCAGTGAAGCAGTTGTGTGAGTCTGTATTTGATTTTATTTTTTATAATTTAACTGTAAATTATGACAGACACTGTTGGAGTAGGGATTGCAAGAGCTTGCATTGTGGCAGTTTTGGCAGTGTGTAGTTAATATTTACTAGTGCTGTTTTATTTTATTTTATTTTATAAAAACAGAACTGTAAATTGTTGCAGACACTGTCTAGAGATTATAAGAGCTTATTCTGATTTAACTGGATTTTCAGTGTTATCGTTGAATATGGAGTGCACTTTGGATGGGTTAAATGCAGAGCACTAATTTCTAGTAT